AAATGGACCTTGTAGGAGCATACGTAATTCTAAAATGTAGCATCGTACTACAGATGGCGTTTACCGCGCCATTTGTGGTGTTTTCTAAAACGCTCTATTAAGACAGCAGGTAAAAGTTGGTCTGTGTTTTGTCGGAGCTGTCTGCGACGCGCCGATGAGATCAGGCAATTTCGACAGAATACAGACCTCTTGGAATTATTAACTTCCCATTAGGAAGTTATTGTAATTGGGTCGAAAAGTGAAATCGGAATTTTCATTATATTTCCACGTTTTAACATATTAGTAGCATGCTAGCCAATTTTTTTGATGATGTGTGTATGTACGTACGTACGTACGTACGTACGTACNTCCAAGGATGGTACTATAGAATGTCACCTCAAGGTAGGCCTAGTGGCGTCATCTCTTGGTTAGGCCGGAAACTTATCAATCCACCCTCGTAGATTGCCTCCCTTTGCAATGTGTGTAGGAAATGTTTGAGCATTTGTACTACACGCGATAAATTATGCTATCGGATAGTCGGAATGCCACCACGTAGTTAATTTATCGACGAATCATTTCGCTGAACATTTATAGGTTTATAGGTCACTAGAGTGACCTAAGTGATTCCATTATTAAATTTTTTAATAAATGGTTTGGTTGCTTATTGTTACTTATTTGTAACAATTTTTTATATGTAAGCATAATGATGATAGAAATGAAGAGAAAATACCACAAATGGCGCGGTAATCCTAAAATGTAGCATCGTACGACAGATGGCGTTTACCGCGCCATTTGTGGTATTTTCTAAAACGCGCTGTTAAGACAGCAGGTAAAAGTTGGTCTGTGTTCTGTCGGAGCTGTCTACGACGCGCTGATGATATCCAAAAAGATCGAAATCGCGATCCGCGTCTGGCAGTTTTGACCGAATACAAACCACTTTGAATTATTTTATTCGATTATGGTAACGTGCCTATCACGTTGAGGTTAGCTACGCCGGGATACGTTTCAGCAAGTAGATATCCATATATTTAAATGGACCTTGTAGGAGCATACGTAATTCTAAAATGTAGCATCGTACTACAGATGGCGTTTACCGCGCCATTTGTGGTGTTTTCTAAAACGCTCTATTAAGACAGCAGGTAAAAGTTGGTCTGTGTTTTGTCGGAGCTGTCTGCGACGCGCCGATGAGATCAGGCAATTTCGACAGAATACAGACCTCTTGGAATTATTAACTTCCCATTAGGAAGTTATTGTAATTGGGTCGAAAAGTGAAATCGGAATTTTCATTATATTTCCACGTTTTAACATATTAGTAGCATGCTAGCCAATTTTTTTGATGATGTGTGTATGTACGTACGTACGTACGTACGTACGTACGTACGTATGTACGTACGTTCGTATGTCAGCATTTTTTTCGTTTTCGATATCTCAAGAACGGATTGAGATATCGCCCTCAACCAAAATTTTTTCGAAAGATATTATCATAATGAAGATCTGAAAGAAATTTGAACGAAATCGGTCAAGCCGTTTTTTTTTTATAAAAAAAAAAACGAATTAATTACAAACAATTTAATTAAAATACGTTCTAATCTAATCACAACAATGAAGTTACGGAATCAATAATAACGAAATATCATTATTCAAGACAGGGAATAACATATTATAATAACATATTATAATAAAAATTTGTTTATAACAAAATGAATTGTTATAAACAATCGATAAACAATAAAAAATAGTATTTACCAATTGACTGATGCAAGTACTCTATCAATTCGGTTTTCTCAGACGAAATACTGTTTCTTATGGGTTTATAAAATGACGAACTCTCAAACATTGTTTGTTATTTATTATTGTGCCGCGTTTTTTTCAAACTTTAGAAACGAATGTACTTTACAATAACTGTATTATCTAATGGGAAGTTAGTCGTATTAGCACCGACCAGTGTGCTCAGACCAATTTTTTTATTAGAAATGAAGAGATATTAGAAAGAATAGGAGAACAGAGGACTTTAAGGAAGTCAGTAAAAAACAGGCGAGATGGGTTGGTAGGACACATTTTCAGGCATAAAGGTCTAGTCAGAGACATATAAGAGGAATAAAGGCAGATCTGGATTAGATTACTGTTCGCAAATAAGGATGTGGAATGTTCTGGTTTTAGGGAAACGCGAAGATTAGGTCAGAAAGAAAAGAGTGGAGGTGCGTGTCCAACCAGTCTTAGTACTGACGACCTTATGATGATAAAGAATATTATACAGGCTGTTAGTGAAATAAGTAAAAATAAGCTTTAGAGGGTAATAAGGAATAAGGATAATGGATTTTATTGAAATTCTGTTTGCTGACAGAATTAACAATTCTAAACAAGAATCTGAAAGAACAAATAAATTGTTACGGAAATACGTTATAATAGTTACGAAAATGAGTGAAGTAGGTTCATGGTCACATTGCCCATAATTATGGGCAGATTATAATCTGCTTCTTTCTCCCACTAATTACGTACACTACAAAAATCAACGAATCAACAAATTTAATACGTATTGTAGTAGTAGTCTATGATATTCAACAAAAAATGACAAAAAAAAAATCAGGCCAGTGATGACAGAATACCAAAGTTAGGGTCTTGAAGAAGTAAGTGGTGGGCAGTAATATTTGGCAGACTGAGCTCGGTTCGGGAACAGACGAACAAATCAAGGATGGTTCATTCGTGAATTTTCGATAACTGAAATAGTACATTACGTATCAAGGGAAGAAACAGGGTTATTTCAGACTGCATGTGAATTGCCACCCGAGCCGAAGTGAATGCTTTTAAAATAAGGTATTACATTATTTCATTCATTGGTGATCAAGACATAATAATATTGTTGCCTTTAAACAATATCAGTACCCATGGCCATACCTTTAAACTTTATCCATTACAGATAACTTTAAATTAATTAGCTCCTCGTAGCTTAGTGATAGAGTACTGGTGGGTAAAACCATGGTTCCGGGTTCGATTCCCGGCGAGGAAGTGACAGTAGCAACAATTTTTATCATATTTATTTTGAGGTTATCTGTAGTGGATAAATATAATTCAGTAACATATAGAATTAACCCACCCCTTTAAAAAAATCAAAAATTCTGTATAATTTGAGAAACAGTTCAATTCTGTCAAACTACAACTACTGCAGTAGCAAGAGAATTAAAAAAATCTTAAATTCTGTTTATTATTAAATTACGGATACTTCGACCGATTAAACTATTTTATAAATGTTGGTAACAATGCGATTATCCGATTAAACTTGTAAACGTAATGAAAATTACGAACTGATTTGAATAAACGACTGTTTAAATATAAAATACTCTTTAAATAAAGCAGACGGTCATGACAGTACCATTTGATAAAGGATGAGCATATGCAATTAGTAGTCCGTTGTTTCAAATTTAATTATAAATTGGTTATTTATACCTACATTATGGTCATGCCATGATCATCTCTACCAATTATTCGATTACCAACCGATAACAAAGGGATTTAAATTTCCATTTATATCGAAAATTATTTAAAATACTAAACTCCCCTAGACAAAAATTTCCAGTCTCTCAGAGTCTTTCAGCGTCTCTTAGAGCGTCTCTCACAGTCTCTAGTAATTGTCCAGGTGTTTTAAGGATCTCTCACAGTCTCTGTATGAGAGACTCGAACGATAAAATTGTTAATTCAGAGATTCGAGTCTCTCACAGAGAGACTGAATGAATAAAATTGAAAAATTGAGAGACTCGAGTCTTTCATAGATAGATTGGAGTCTCTGAAATGTTTGTGGACTTTAAATAAATGATTAGTTTTCATAGAATATGCTAATGATTTTTTAAATTAAAAGAAATAACTCGTCATATAATTTTATAAAATATTTTTTACAGACTGGACGAAAAAATCACGATCTCTCTGAAAGACTCGAGATTCTCGTTCAGAGACTGGACGCAAAAATGAGGATCTCTATGAGAGATTCGAGTCTCTTGTTCAGAGATTCGAGTTTCTCGTTCAAAGACTGGATATGAAATGAGGATCTCTCTATGAGCGACTCGAGTCTCTCGTTCAGAGATGCTAAACAGTTTTTTTGACAGTCTCTCTCAGCGACACCAAAGAGACTCAATGAGAGACTGAGACTCGAGTCTCGCTTTCGAGACTGAGTGACTGAACATTTTTATCTCGGATCCTCATTAGTTAAAAACTATTAAATCTTGATAAGCATAACAGGCCAATGTAGTTTTTAAAGCTTTTAAAGGAACCGGTGCAGACAGTGCGGGGAAGTCCTCACGCCGTGAACTGCCAGAGGGTATTCTATCTCGCTTTCATACAGGGGTGTTTATAATGTCTGATAAATACGCAGATCCTAAGTAATTCCGAAAATTTACAGATATTTTTTGAACGACGAAGTATATACGTATACTTTGAAACTGTGTCATATTTTTATGGTATCAACCTTCTATAATAAATAATAAAAAGCACACATTTTTATGAATTGATAACACTACAACAATTGTTTTACCAAGTAAATAATGGCTCCTTCAGACGAAACAAAAATATTAACAAATTTTAACAATTTTAACGTCTGAAGCTGATTTTTATGATTCCTAAGGGTTCGATATAAAATGAAAGAAGTTTATTTTTCTGTCAATAAATTCGGAGAATTTCTCACAAAATATAACCTATTGTAACGTCTGAAGCTGATTCTTGAGATAAAGGTTCGACATAAGGCAGAAAGTTTATTTTTCTGTCAATAGATTCGGAGAATCTTTTACTTTACGTAAAAAACAATGTTCACGATATATTTTTAAAAAAATAATTTCAAGCTGGTGGTGGTTGAAGTATAAGATAAATTAAGATGCCATTTTCGCAATTATAGGGTGACAACAACATTACAATTGTATCTAGCCCCTGTCTTCACGTTTTTGCTAACAAACATGTTGTTTGTGCACATTTTTAATATTAGATAAGTACAAATGATAACTGTCATTTCCTTATTGAAATAATTACCTTTATTTTAGGTGAACTTGATGAAGATGGAGACGATGCTGCCGAAACTGTTACCACCACAAATGTGGTTGAAGAAGAGAATACCGTCATTGTCATTGAAGACGAGGCGGATGGAAAACGCAAGTCGAACTCCTTTGCAGCTAAAAAAACAGTGGCACAAGGTAGGTATTAGTGACCGACTGAAGGTTCGGTTTCGGCAAAAAAATCTAGTTTCGGCACCAGTTTCGGTTTCAGCAGAAAAATCTACAATCTAGCAAAAGTGAATATTGTTAATGACGTAAAAAAATTTAGCTGCAGATTAATAAAACAAATATTTTTTTTCTTAACGCTACATAATTTTTGTGTACTTCACTACGAATATAATGTTGGATTCCATCTGAATCGAATCGTATCGTATTGGTTGAGAAAGTGCCCTTTTCCATCTTTGCACCTACCCCGTTGTGAAAATGATCTATGGCTTTTTCCGTATCGACTCGGCGAAAGATCTATACTAAATATAAAAACTCAGCGTAATGATGCCATAGCACACACAACATATCGTACAGGGTTTGTCCGGAAAGTAATAGGACTGAGTCGATTTAAAAAAATTTATTGAGCCAATCGTTACAATTCTTTAAAAACTTTCAAAATAGGCTCCTTCTGCGTCGATGCAGCGCTGCCAGCGCGATTTCCATGCATTGAAGTCGTCATGGAAGGCATTCTCCGGAATAGTCTCAAGAGCCGCGGTGCATGCTGCTTGGACCCCTCTGTAGTCTCAAAATGCTTGCCTTTTCAGGCGAGCAAACAAAAAAGTCCGGAGAGGACACATCTGGGCTGTAGGGCGGCTGCGGAAGCGTTGGGATGCCGGCCTTGGTCAGGTAGCTGTCCACAAGAAAGGCGGTGTGAGCCGGGGCGTTGTCGTGGTGCAACTTCCTGTCGGCAGCGATGTCTTGTCGGACACGACTGACCCTTCGTTTGAGTCTTTTGAGCACTTCCACGTAAACCTTGGCGTTGACGGTTTGTCCAGGAGGAACAAATTCATGCTGGACGATGCCTTTCATGTCAAAAAAGACAATGAGCATCGTTTTCACTTTGGATTTGCTCATTCTTCCCTTTTTTGGGAGAGAAGACGCCGGCGTGTGCCACTCGGAAGATTGCCTCTTTGTCTCGGGACAATACTCAAAGATCCATGACTCGTCACCTGTGATTACGTTATTCAAAAATTGGGGGTCACTTTCACATATGTTTAAATTTTCGGCTTGCACCACTCACAGAAACACGTCGCGCGAAAAAGGCTATTCTGACTCTCCAGGTGCTCGGAGACAACTCACCAGCCGCTCATCGTTAGTTAGGAATGCCCTCTACCGAATCCAGTCGGTGCGCGCACGCTCCGTAGTACAGTCGCGGTGGAAGGAAATCAGTCCTATTACTTTCCGGACAAACCCTGTATTATGAAAACTGAAGGTGTCCTAAACACAAAACTACAAATTTATAACGAAATGTTCACTGACCTCGCGTCTTACGCAACAAACAATTGCTGGAATTCTATGTTGTCCAAAAAGAGGTGATTTCGGCTGTTTCAGATTGATGTTGGGTTTTTATAACATCCTTGGTGATTAGTGGGTAATTCAGGAAAAAACTAATTCTCCGGTCTTCTCAATCTTCACTGGTCAACATTGATCAAATTTAAAATACGTTCAGGAATTTTTAATAATTCTATTTCTAATTTAACCCAATGTGCTTTCTGGAAAGGGGAATACACCTAACTGGGGTGTTAAGAAATACGTGTAGATATTCTTCGTCATGTTCTCGTCGTAAGTACGTAACCGAGAGCAGACGGAGGCCAGTTTCGGTCCAAATGTTCGTAAATCTTTTTTAGGATTAAGGATTAAATTCAATACTGAAAAGGTGTTTTTCACAATCAATTTAAGTTTATACGCAGGATAATTGACTCGAACTGTAACAATTTCCTAGTAAATCGTTTTTTGAATTCCACATTTTACGGATCGATAAAATCTAAAAGAGTCTAGATTGCACAGTTATTAGACGCAACACATCGACATTATTCAACAATCAAATATATGTCCTTTATCTGTTTTCTTGCATATAATTATGCATGCTTGTCTATAATGCGACCCACGGTTCGGATGCGGCTCAAAAGCCTTTAAAATGCGACCCAAAAGCAAATTATAAAAATATTTAAATTTACACGTAATTAAAGGTGTATGTTTAGAGCGCGGCGTTGTACGGGTGTGAAATATGGACGGTGGGCACTGCGGAATAGAAAAGTTAAGAATGATGAGGATAACGTGGGTAGAAAAGGTTAGAAATGAAGAGATACTAAAAAAGAATAGGAGAACAGAGGACTCTTAGGAAGTCAGTAAGAAATAGGCGAGATAGGTTGGTATGACACCTTTTCAGGTATGAAGGTCTAGTCATAAAACAGAGACGGAAGCTAGAAGGGGTAGAGGTAGGCCGAGATTAGATTACTGTTCGCAAATAGTTAAGGATGTGAGTTGCTCTAGTTTTAGGGAAATGCGCAGATTAGCTCAGGATAGGAAAGAATGGAGGTGCGTGTCCAACCAGTCTTAGGACTGACGACCTTATGATGATCAATCGGCTCGTTGATATTTATATTGAATTAAAAATTTTAATAAAAACCACTTGTATATCATGAGGATTTACGTTTCAAATTATGTATTAAGTATTTCAACATATTTTCAACCGTCCAACCCATTTTCTCTAGAAATAAATATCAGGTTGTTCGGAAAGTCATTTCGTTTTTTCCCGACAGAGGATTTAATTGTATTCTTTTGCACCCAACTTCACATTTAAGCCGTATAATTTTTATATGCTTTGAGAGCTCATATAGCAAGGCTTGTGTGTGAAAAATTCCAATTAATTCTACGCAGTAGTTTTTGGTTGGTGCCCTTTTAAATATGGAGAGCGATAAGCAGCATTTTCGACATATCTTACTGTTTTACTACAGAAAGGGTAAAAATGCTGTTCAAGCCAGAAAGAAATTGACTGATGTGTATGGAGAAGGTGTGTTGACAGTACGCCAGTGCCAGAACTGGTTCGCTAAATTTCGATCCGGCAATTTTGATGTCGAAGATGCACCACGTTCGGGAAGGCCGGTTGAAGCTGATAAAGACGCGATAAAGGCATTAGTTGATGTGAACCGGCGAATAACAACACGTGAGATCGGATTGAGGTTAAATTTATCAAATTCAACAGTTTATGACCACTTGAAAGGCCTGGGATTATCCTCGAAGCTCGATGTATGGGTTCCCCATGTTCTCACAGAGAGAAATCTGTGTCGCCGCATTGACGTCTGCGATTCGCTTCTCAAACGTCACGAAAATGATCCGTTTTTGAAGCGCATCATCACTGGGGACGAAAAATGGGTTGTATACAACAACGTCAAACGCAAGAGGTCATGGAGCAAAAAAGATGAACCGGCTCAAACCATTTCCAAAGCCGATATTCACCAAAAAAAGGTGATGCTGTCTGTTTGGTGGGATTTTAAAGGAATCGTTTTTTTTTAGCTTTTACCGGATAACACAACGATTAATTCGGAAGTCTACTGTCATCAGCTGGACAAACTGAATGATGCACTTCAACAGAAAAGGTCAGAACTAATCAACAGGAAAGGTGTAGTGTTTCACCAAGACAACGCGAGACCTCACACAAGTTTGGTCACTCGCCAAAAGCTTTTACAGCTTGAATGGGATACAATGCTACACCCACCATATTCTCCAGACCTGGCACCATCGGATTATTATTTGTTCCGGTCACTCCAAAATTTTTTAGACGGTAAAACCTTCACCTCAAATGAGGAGGTCAAAAACCTCCTCGATCAGTTTTTTGCCAGCAAAGACCAAAAATTTTATGAGCGTGGAATTATGCTACTACCAGAAAGATGACAAAAGGTGTTGGACCAGAACGGTCAATATATAATTTAATAAAGTATTTGTTTATTATACGAAAACTGTCTTTCATTTCCACAAAAAAAACGAAATGACTTTCCGAACAACCCTATAAATTACTTTCAAATTTTCAAATGGAATGTATTAAACAAAGTGACATTCAACTGAAAGAAAAATTTGGGAAAGACCGAGACTAGAAGCATTTGAGCAAGACGAAAACCAATACCAAATAAAGAAGACCAAGGACAGTTTTGGTATTGGTCTTGGTCTCGCTAAGCTGTAGTTGCGCTACGTACACGCAGTTTTGAAAGACCCCGTAAAAAATTTCGAATAAAAAGTTTGCATCTAAAATAACGTATCTATACGGTAACGTTTGTACTATAAATAAAATGCAGTTAAATTCACGCGACTGTATTGTCCTATTGTACTATTGGAAATTGAACGTGACCCACTTTTGCATCCGTTTAACTGTCTGTATTTACGTCACATTGACGTGCCACGTTTTCTTTCGTTGTGACCAACATTCTCTAAGGAAAACGCCGCGCTTCTCCCTAAGGAACGTTACAATAAAAATTCATTCACTGAATAGTATCGCTGAGATTTCCCATAAGAGAATGTTGGAATGTTACTCGGAATTGATTCCAGGAGAAATTTTTCTATCTACTTTAAATTTTAATAACGTCTACAGAAAGAAAATGTACTGTAACATTGTATCAAATGCGTTATTATCTATAAATAATCTTTCTCTATTATCAGCCTTGTCTTCTCAGGAAGTGGTATATTTAATTTGATAGTTATTTGAATACAAACAGCGCGCTAAACGCCCTCTATAATATATTTCTACCTTTTAGAAAATGTTCAGCAGGTCCTGAAGGATATTAAGTTGTTAAACTGAGTCTATGGCGTAACTAACCCTATGTGACAGGCACGTAACCAACCAAGCCAAGTCATGTAATGCCAGACGTGAATTGCGATTTCGACCTTCTTGGGTCTCGTCAGCACGTCGTAGACAGTTCCGATAGACCAATTCTACCTGCTGTCTTTAAATAGCGTTTTATGAATTAGTACAAACTGCATGCTAAATAGACATCAGTACACCAAAATTTCTAGATAGATGAAAGTCTAGTACTTTTTTGTCAGCAGTCTTTATTTGAAGATCAAATATTTTCTTGGTATCAGGACTAGAGAGTAATTAAGTATGTAAGCTGACCGTTGCATTGGTCGGAAAGGGGTAGAAATACAGTAATCTTATC